TAAACTGTTAAGTAACTGCTCGAGGTGTTTTTTGTCACTCAGCCATTTCTGTCTAAAGGGCAGTTATTCTTATGTTGTGGCAATCGACCTATCAGTACAATTTGATCTTAAGTGTTTTGACTTTTAATTATAGGTTTTGTTTTATATATTTTTTTAACTTTAGTCCTTTTTTATTCAAAAACTCACTGCTTGCTTTGAAAACATGGAATCATGAGCATTTTAAGTCTGTGTGAGTTGCAAGATCTTAAACCTTTTGAACCTTGAAGAATAAATACACATTTTCAAGGTCAGATGAAAAAGAAGCCATCTCACATGTGGAGAGATTAGCAAATTCAATTGCTCAGAGGTGAGATACATAGCCCTTTTGAGAAGGTGCAAGTAAATAATTTGATTAGAAGGGGAGATTGTATCTAAAGGAACTAGGAAATCTGAGATAAAAATTTTGAGTAGACTTTTTCAAAAAGTTGTTTGATTCAGAACAAAATTAAACAGAAGGCAGAAATTTCCCACAGATAGATAGCTTTCTTCATTATCACTACTGCTCACATAATAATAGATTTGTTATGTTAGGTGTGCAGTGACACAATGGTATCTCTCAGAGTTCATAGTTAGGGTTTGTGTTCATTACAGAAATTGAACTCGGGTCTCTTGTGTGTATGCTCTCTGCTGATGACCTAGCCTAGGTTCACTTGTTGTATACTTGCTGGGTGTAATGATCTGTATCTTCCATTAAGCATCTTAGAGAAATTTTACTGCTGAAAAAATCCTTGTGTTCTGCCTAGCCTTTCTTTACTTCTCCTAACCCCTAGCCACAGTTGATCTTTTTAAGATTCCCACTTTTGCACTATACCTAGTTGGAATCGTTTAGCTAGACTTCGTAGATTGACTTCTTTTAGTTGCTAATATTAATATACATTTGTTTGCTGCATGTCTTTTTATGGCATGATAGCTTGTTACACCAAATAATAATCTAATGTCTGGATGTATTATAGTTTATGTATTTCACCTACTAGAGGATATCTTGGCTGTCTCCAGGTCTTGGTAGTGATGAATTAAACAGATGTAAACACAATAAGCAGGTTTTTGCATGGACCTAAGTTTCTATTTCTGTTGGGTAAATAACCAGGGAGCATGATCGCTGGATTTAAATGGCAAGAATCTAAAATGACTGTACAGTTTTGCATTTCCACCAGCAGTGAAAGAGAACTCCTATTTCTTTACATCATTACCAACATTTGGTGGTGTTTGTTTTTTGATTTTGGCCTTTCTGAAAGGAGTGTTAGGGGTATTTCATCATTTTAATCATTGATGAACTTTAATGTAGAAGTGACCTTGAATTAACTGCCTGAAAGATCTATTTGAAAGCTTTTTGATTCTTTAAAAAGAATAGAAGCAGAGTCTCACTAATAAAAATTAAAAAAAAAAAAGAATAGAAGCAGAACTAGAGGAAAAGAGGGAGTTAGCTTTGAATTTACCGTGGTAATTTAACTAGGCATGAAGAAGACCCTAGCCTAGGTACAGTGGGAGAAATTTTAAAATACTTAACAAGCGAAAATGAGAGAGCTTTCAATGGAAATACTTGGTGAAGAAAAAAGGAGTTTCCTTAGTGATTCTTTATGCTTTATTTTGTTTTGGGGCCACACCCAGTGGTGCTTAGGGCTTACTCCTGCTCTGCACTCAGGGATCACTCCTGACCAGAATTGAATGCAGGTCAGCCCTGGGCAAGGCAAGCAGGTGCTCTCTCCACTGTTTCTCCAGCTTCTCTTAGCGATTTTGATTTTGGGCTCCCCTAGAGCATTTGTATAATAGAGTGTGTGGGTATGAAAAAGAGGAGGGGGAGGGAGAATGAATAATGAATTTTGGTTGTATTTCTACTGGAATTCGGAGGATGATAAATGTCCTCTGATGTAGGGGACAGTTTCTCTCCAGGAGAAATTGTTTATTTAGCAGCACTGTAAAGTGATGACATTAAGGGAGAGAAGGAATAACAGGTCTACGGAGGTAAGACAATTTCAGTGTGAACTTTTCCATTTGAGTTGTTTGTGGACACCCAGTGATAGAATTTCTTAGATGAGATTTGTGTATCCAGAGTGCAAAAATCCGTACTTCAGATTTGGTTGTTAGCGGAGATGGTTCAGCATCTGCAAAGGTCAAGGTTAGTACAGGTGATTATTTCCGATCTGTAGTGTGATAAATATCAACATTTCATGGTGGAATAAAGGAAGAGGAACCAGATGGCCAGAGAAAGGGAGAAAATCTGCAGATTGCTATTATTACAGTTGAAGAAGTGACTGTTTCATTCAGAAAGTGTGTACAGTTCTTTTAAAGATGGCAGCGAGCCAAGTAAATTAGGGAGATAAAAGTGGTTGTTTAGCAGACATAAGGGTCAGATTTCTTTTTCAGTGGTGTGCATAGTAGAGGTGATGAGGTGACACTAATTTATAGGCTTCAAGAATGTGTGGGAGGTGAGAAAATGAGGCAATGAAGGTAGATTACAGAAGTTGTCTGTTGAACCTAATTTTCAAACATTGCATGTCTACTTTCTACTCTTGTTACATTCTTTCATGTGTCAGCTGACAAACGGCTATTTCTAGGTATCTCATGGTTTGCAGTGACTTGAATATTTTATTGTTTCTCATTATAAAACACTTAAAAAGTGTTCTACATAATCTTAGATCTCACAAATTTGATTCTTCTGAAGAAACTCACATGTAATGAATGACAGCAAATCTTCCTGTACATGTTAATAACAGCAATATCACTATGCTTAAATTAGGTGGTTATTTAATGTAAACCAAATATTACAAAGAAAAATAACAAAACGAAAGAACTCAGAAAAGATATTGGCTATAGAGCTTTAAAGACTATAGATTAAAACATAAGTTGCGATTAGGAATTGGTGTCATATTTTTAGTTTTCTTAAAACATGAGCATATATGAACTTGTCATATATGTTTTGAGGAGCAAATTTTAACAGTGGGAAACTTCATAAAAAAAGATTATCTCTTGAAGGAGAAAGAAGATAGCTTGTTAAGGGGCTCTGAGATCCAAGAAAAATATTTTTTATGATATATGGCAACAACATTTTCTTTGCGGAGGTTGAAAAACTCAAAGTCACGGTAAAATTAAATATGTAGGGAGAAAGGAAAATTCCTTTGTCCACTATTCCTTAATAGTGGACAAAATTTCTTGAGGCAAAATTTGGTTTTGGATCTAAAATAGTGGTGTTAGGGATTTAACCTTGGAAAGGGAAAAAAATGACCTTTCCTATTGAGTTTGAAAGAAGACAGTGATGGATTTGAAGGTAAGTACATTTGCATGTGCAGTCATAGGCAATTAATCCAGCAGTTTCTGAATGTCCACTGAGTTTTAATCTAAGTTTGGAAATATCTCTAAAACTATTCTTGAAAAAAAGGTGTGTGTGTGTGTGTGTGTTTGTGTGTTGAGTGGTTTGGAAATAAGATCCAAAACGAATTTTAAAGGTTACATGGGGGTGCTGAGCCAGTAACAAACAGGGGTCAGAGGCATGATTGACCCCTGGCTCTGCTAGGCGTGGTCCTGATCATTCCCTGGGCCACTGGTAGCTGATAGCGCTGCAGGGCCCGAGCCGCCCTGCATTCTTGGGCCAGGTTTTAAGCCGTTGCAGTCAGGAGTCATTCTGGCCCCCAGCTGCTTGAGAGGTCTGTGACTTCCGAAAGTTACTTGGGACATAACTTTCCTGGCTCTTGAGATGTAAATTTACTCAGAAATCAAATCACAATAGTTTGATACTTCATTAACTGCTCTAATTCCCTTTAAAAGATCATTGTCATAGTTCTTTCTGTCATGTGACATGTATTTGACATGTGCTAAGATTGCATCTTTGTCTCTGCTCCAAACTCTGTTAAGTCTTATCGACTTCATCAGACCTTTAAGAATTCAAATATTAGCTTGTTGCTAATTTTAAATTTAATATTTTTTGGAGGGGATGGCTGGATGCACAGCTGACCATACTCAGGAGCTGTTATTTCTGGCTCTGTGCTTTGGGATTTAATCAGGGACAACCATGTGACAAGGCAAGTGCCTAAACTTCTGTAGTATCTCTTGACCCTTAAATCAGTCTTTTTAGTAGTTTGTCCTTGGAGTTAGGATCAGTCAGCCATCAATGTAGAAATGGTTGGAATTGTGGTTAGCAGTTCTTTTCATTGGAGCCAGTATGTCATTATACTTAATGATTCTCAGCTGATTCTTATGCATCAGTGATTCTCACTCAACTTATAGTAAGTAGCTTTGTCCCTGGGGACCTGTACCAGTATTTGTTGTTGGGTTTTTTTTTTTTTTTTGTCACACCTGGCAATGCACAGGGCTCATGCACTTAGGAATTACTCCTGGTGGTGCCCGGGAGACCATATGGGATGCTGGAAATCGAACCCAGCTTGGCCGCATGCAAGGCAAATGCCCTACCCCCTGTGCTATCATTCCAGCCCCCTGTACCAATATATGGAGACATTTTTGGTTCTCATCACTGAGTTAGAATACATGGCATCTTATATTTGACACATTTTTGGTTCTCATCACTGAGTTAGAATAAAACCGTTCATGGCAGCTTGTGGTTAGAGACCAGAAATATTACTAATATGTTTGTGTAGAGGACAACCCCCACCAAAAATTATCTGGTTCAAAATGTCAAAAATACGGAGGTTGAGAAACACTGGTATACATTAAATAGCATCTGAATACTTCTGAACACTTGTAAGACAAGCATGCTTGTTTGCATTATTTAGTTGAAACTTCAGAAACCACCCTTTGAGGTAAGTTGTTTCATATCTTCATGTCTTAAAGAGATTGTTTCTTGATAAAAGAGGCAGAAAACAAACCTTGGACTTAAATCCCACCGTAATTTTATTGCATAAATATTCAGGACACTTCTTAAAAAGCTATTTTTAGCCTTACCTGTTCTTTTTTTTTGCAGGGACAAATATTCATGGCATTTGAAACATAATTTATTTTTAATATTACAGATCTAGAAATGGCCATTGCCTACTGGAATTTAGTGCTTAATGGAAGATTTAAATTCTTAGACTTATGGAATAAATTTTTGTTGGTAAGTTCATGTTTTCTGCAGTTTTGTGTTTCCTCTGAAAGTTTGCTTTGTTTTAAGATAAATTAACATTTTATGTATGATCAACTCATTTCAAAGAGCATTATTGGACAGAGCATGAGAAATCCGATTACTAGGATTTCTTTACACTAAATAGTTAATAGTTAATTAACTATTAGCATTAGTTAATTATTCTTGAGTATCACCTGAAGTTTTTTTAAAACTATGTAGTGATTTGGACTTATTTATTTTAAAATAGGAACATCATAAACGATCAATACCAAAAGATACTTGGAATCTTCTTTTAGACTTCAGTACAATGATTGCAGATGACATGTCTAATTATGATGAAGAAGGTAATGAGAAGTTTTTCCCTATCAGTTGTTGGTTTCCTTTTTTTTTTTTGTAAATCCTTTTTGTTTCACATACTCAAATTTCTTGTGTATTTCTGTTTTTCTGAGAGTTGGATTTCTTCTTCTGATCTTTTATTTGTGCTTCTCTGAATGTTTGAAATGCTTTTGTCTTCCTTATCAATGTATATTATTCTGTTGCTTTAAATACTAACTTGGTATTCATGACTTCCACAAAAGCAGGATTAATTTTCTCCATGTTTTAGATTTGCAGTTATTTTAAGGAATGTCTTCTGTTCTTACCATATTTTTATATTTGCATGTGTTTTTTGGGTCTTGTTTGTGAACTGGATTGTAAGTTTAGTGACTAATTTGAAATGTACTTCAATTGACTACTGTGGCACAATCAGCATCTTATAAATATGCACTGAATGAATGCTGTTCTTCACATATGAACATAATGCTACCATTCACTATAGGCTGCGTACTTTTGTTTTTCCAGAAGTGGTAGCGATTTGCATTAATTTCTTCAAACATTTATGCAGTTCCCCTTGAAAGTTAGCAAAATGTGTGTCTGAAATTGAGCATACAGATGTATTCTTTGAAAATTCTCTAACAACCTTGACCTCTTTAAAAGTATCCTGGAACCGTTGTATCTAACAGGATGATGTTAACTTCTTCTCTTTGTTTTCATTGTCATTTATCATCTGTGAGAACTGAGGACTGGGGATAGAACTCAAAGGGGGCTGGAATACATGTTTTGCATGCAGAAGGCCTGGTTTGGATCCCCAGCAATACATGGTCCCTTGAGGACTGCTGGGGACAAGTACTGAACACTGTGCTCTGAGAGTGGCCCCTGAGCTACCTACCACTGAGTGTGGCCCAGGAACCAAGAAAAAGGAGGGATGAGAGGATGGGGAGGGTGAAGAGGGAAAGGGGGAGAGAAAGGAGGGAGAGAAAGGAGAGAGGGGAGGGAGAGAAAGATTAATGCTGCAAAAGATTGGTAACTTGTGTTTTTTTGATGGGCCTCACAGAACTGGAAAACTTGCTGATTTGGAGATTGATTTGTAATTGTGTAGAGTTGTGCATGATTTAGAGAAGGATGGAGTTTGGGGCCAGAGCAGTGGTACAGTGCAAAGAGCATTTTACCTTGTATGTGGCTGACCTGGGTTTGAGCCCCATACCACATATAGTTTACTGAGCCCTACTGAGTGTGTCCCCAAAACCAAAATAAACAAAAAAGCTAGGATGGAATATGGGGTTTGATGTTTTCTGTTAATGCTAAAAACTTGTTTCCACCTATCTACTGTACTTTTTTTTTAATAGTAAAGATCACTTTATTTTTAATTTTTTTTTTTTGGGGGGGCACATCTGGCAGTGCTCAGTAATTAATCCTGGCTCTCCACTTAGGAATTACTCCTGGTGGTGCTCAGGGGATCGAGGGGATCCTGGGGATTGAACCTGGGTCAGCCACATGCAAGGCTAGTGCCCAACCCGCTCTACCCTCTCAGTGTCTACTGTACTTTTAGTACTGGGAGCATGCCATCACCATCATTTCATGGCCATTTGGTTTTTGGTTTTGTTTTAATTATTTTTTATGATAATACTGATGTTGCTATTTTATACCAGTAGTGCTGCTGAACCATGTCTTTCACCCATGTGACAGACCATGCCATTATCCTAAGACTACTCTTCCCCTTCGTTTCTTTAGATCACACTTCTGTGTTCACTGTACCTTAGGGTTTGTTTCCATAATCTTTTTGTTTCTTCATATTTTGCATCTGAGAAAAGATCAATTGGGATTTTTCTTTGTCTCTCTGACTTAGTCTAGACTTAGATTTGTCTTTCTTTTTCTAACCCTAACCCTCCAAATCCAGATTCATTCAAGTTGTAACAGACTGTAAGACTTCATTTTTTTCTTATTGGGCTGCTGGTTTTGACCAAATTACTTCATGTTCAGGCTTCTGTGACTTTCAGAAAATCATAGTAATACTGATTACCACAAGAGCTCTGTCTATCATTTAAGAATTTATTTAACAGCACAACGAATATTTTAGGTAGACACTTGGAAAAACTAGAATTTCAGAAGTCTTACGAGGGGGGATGTTTGTAATGGCATACTTTGATTGGGAAGGTATTTGAAAAATAAAGTATTCACTTAAAATGTTAGCCTTATTTGGTTTTGTTCCTTTCATTTATTTTTTTTTCCTCCAGGAGCATGGCCTGTTCTTATTGATGACTTTGTGGAATTTGCACGTCCTCAAATTGCTGGGACAAAAAGTACAACAGTGTAGCACTAAAGGAACCTTCTAGTATGTACATAGTCTGTACAATAAATACAACGGAAAATTGCACAGTCAATTTCTGCTGGCTGGACTGAACTGAAGATCAATCCTCACCATTCAGACTGAGGGTTGAGACAAAACTTTAAGGATACATCTTGGACCATATCGTATTTCATTCTTCTAATGGTGGTTTGGGCTTGTCTTCTAGTCTGGGCCGCTCAAAACATTTATAATTCCAACATTGTGGATTTCATCTTATATCTGTGGACCATCATAGTTTATTCTCCCATAAGTCTTAGAAGCTTTATGGTGATTATTTTGAGATTTCCATCCTTGCATAAAGCACAATGCTGTCTTCATGAGAAAACAGTTTGGCATAAGAATTAAAAATGAACATCACAAACAATTATAAAAACTCCTTAAATATATGCTTTGGGCTAGTTGCAAAGACTATGCTGATAGCACTTCAATGAGAGTGATATATTTAAGTGGATCTGAATGGTGTTTTGGTTTGGGGGATTTTTTTGGGGGGGGTGCAAATCACATGTTATTGTTGACGTGAGTAGGGTATCTGATGAAAAAAAATGTCAAAATAACCAACGTGAAACTTTTTTTAGAATAACTTGGTGTGCCTACCTGAAAACTTTATTGTGTTTCAGACCCTTGATTTCAAAAGGTTCCACAGAACAAGTCTGCACTTAACCTTACCCATGGTTTGCAGTTGCCCTCCAGGGAGCTTTTAGTCAGAAGATGTCTGCATAATGTTCACGTCCACCCCTGTCTACATTATGCACTACAGAATTGGGTTTCATTATGATTTTGAAATGCTTATATGCCTGTCAAATAAGTTTAAACTATTTAATTTGTTTAGAATGTTTAGATTGCTACACAATACAGTACTCTAAATTTAGGCATGAGGGTTTATATATGGGTTTTTTTTTTGTTTGTTTTTTTTTGTTTGTTTTTTTGTCAGCGCACTATGGAACACAAATGAAATTCTTTTAATTTATAAGATGATAGTAGGAATTAAATTTTGAAAATGGTCATGATGAGCCATAAAGTTCAATCTTTATAATATAGGTACTGCTCTTTCAGAAAAATAGTCCATTTTTGATGACTTATTTTGTTGAAATTGCTTTAATTGCTAATCACTGTGGTTGCCAAATACTTAACTTCCAGAGCAAAGATTTTCAAGCAAGCATGCACTTGTTGCAAAATACCAATCCGACTTCTATTTTTGTGAATTATTTAGTCTCGTTACTGTTTTGTTTCATTCAAATTAGCTCACTTTTCACATCAAAGCAGAATTTCTATCTTGTACCCCCCCTTTTTTTTTATTACAAGACTCATGAACTGCTTTCATGCTGAAAATGTACATTTCTCTGTTCACTTCCCTACATGAAGAAGGGTTAATTGCTTTCTTAAACATTTATGTAAGGCAGGCTGAAAAATGTAGAATTCCAGATACTGGATGACCTGTGGTCTTTAGCAGGTATAGATTTTGCTTGGTGTATCCAGGTATTCTCTAAGGTCTAATCTTGAAATTTTCAGAAGAATGTATTTCAGAATATCAGTACGTTTTATGTAGATGTGGAAATGATTTTAAAGAACAAGGACATATTAAAACTACTTTTTATTTACAGTTTTGAAATTGATTAGAAATATTTCCTCAGAGATGATATATTAATATTCCAATCATAACTTTAATTCAAGAATACAATTCTACTAAAAGAAAATGTTAAAAGTGTCTATTCCAGTTACTAGAATTGGTTATTTTAAAAAAAAAAGGAAAAATAAGAATTCTGCTGCTTTCAGTATTTCCTAATTTTGCATTTGTAAATATGAAGAGAAACTTCAATTATGAAAAAATTTAAAAGATATATAGATATATGTACTATTTTGTTTCTTGAGGATTTTGAGTTATGGTATTGTTTCCAGATTGATTCGCATATGCTGTGTTTTGAAATGAAATCTCATTAACTTTTTTCCCATATAAAACTTTTTTTTAATATAAAAGTCTGATATTGGTTCGTGGCCTAGTGCCTTGGGTTTTACAGACTTTTCTTTTTAAATGCAAGACCTATTCAACAAAATAGTGTTTGTCATCAGTTTGGTACTAAACATTTATAATTACTGTGTAATTATAAAAAAATACATAAAGCTTTGAATATAATTATGTAGCATAAAAGTTAAGTTTGTTCACTATGATGGCATCTTAGAATTAAACAATACTATTACTAGGGCTGAAGAGAAGATTGATTTAATGTGGTGTGATTATTCTGAGGGCAGATGTCTGGATGCAGGGAATATTTTGTACTAAAAGATGCTTACACTCGTAGCCGTGTGTGTGTGTGTGTGTGTGTGTGAGAGAGAGAGAGAGAGAGAGAGAGAGAGGAAGATAAAAACATACATGCTCACACACAACTTGCTTGAATTCATAAGTGTTTCAGTTTTCATTCTGGCAAACTCCTCATGCTGATTCTGTTTAAAACTGAACAACTGGTACAGTTTCCTTTTGCCAAATGTCAAAACAGGTACACATTTTAAAATGTAATGCTTCTTAAAATAGTAAAGTGTGTAAAAATTGAAAGCACCCACATAAGAAAAATACTTGAGGTCAAAATTATGATTAGTGACTACCATCTGCATATCTCTGTAAGTTCAGTTGTGTTTTTTAAAATCAATCCCTGTCATATTACCAACAGAGGCAATAAAAGCTGCAGTGAAGTTGCCATGACTAAATCTTTTCACACATTATTTCAGTGTATTTTTTAAAGACTAAAGTATGCCTGAAAACTTCCAGGAAGAGTAATTTTTCATAGAAAGAACAATTGTAATGGCAAGTTTTGGGGAGAAAAGACATACCATGCCAAATCTTGTTTACTGCACTTAAAATGTTTACAACTTACTGGGCTGCTTTATTTAATTTACAGTACTGTAGTTGTGTGATACGGCATTGTAAGTAGTGTTCTTCATTAGACTTTAAGAAGTTTTAATGAGAGAAATAAACTTAATAAAATAACATGGGAAGTCTTTTATATAATAGCCTTACTTGGGAATTTTCATTCAGTTATTAAGCAAGGTTATTATTTTCTTAGAGATTTAAGTGAATAAAGTAGTATTTTTTCATTTAATAATAAGTTTGAGTTAGGTGTAGCTAATTTGATGTGCACTTTGTTTAGATTTTCCAAACATGTTACTATAATACCTGTAGCCTTGTAATTTTTACATAAAAACAACAGAAGAAAATTTACAAATGAAAGAATTTTGGAATATAAGAAGAAAGTGGTGCTGGGGAAATTTATTATAGTTCACCTAATATACCTTTGAAAACTTGAATCAGCATTTAGCAAGAATTTATGAAGTTCTAAATGTCAAATTGTGTATGTTTAATAGAAGATATTTGGCACCTCAGCAGTTTTTAAAACGTGTTACTTTATACTTTTAGCAATATTTATATTGAATACTATGTTTTGATAAGGTTTTAGCAAATTTGATAATGTAATGATAGAATATTTTAAAAATATATCTTATAGGACACTATCTGAATTGTGATTTCTTCTTAATATAATTAGGGTTCAAATTATGACCCATTCATGTTGATTATAAACAAGTATATTTCTGAACTCTTAACTGCCTCCATTTTTACAAGCATAACAATAACTTCTATTTTATAGAAGTGTGTACAAATCTCCTTAGTGTTTGCCACCATTTTCATAGGATATTTGCTTGATGTGTACCTAATTCTGGAGGGCAGATAATGATGTTATTTTAAGTAAATAATACAGGTACATAAATGGTTTTACAGTGCACTTCTTGCCAGCTTATGTTTACTGCCTGTTGGGTAATTGGCATTTTAATTCATTTATTTGACAACTTTCTATTAGGGTACTTTGTGTTAACGTGGCTTTTAGTTTTAATTGTTTACTTTTTTGCCCGGAGCTGGGGGGCACACCCAGCAATGCTCAGGGGTTACTCCTGGCACTGCACTCAGGAATTACTGTGCTCAGAAACTACGCAGCACTCCGGGGATCAAGCCCAGGTCAGCTGCGTGTAAGGCAGACACCCTACCTGCTGTACTGTGCTCTGGCCCCAAGCTTTAATATTTTTCTACTATTAAAAATAAAATTATAATAAAAGATGCACAATCTTTGTAGTAAACAGACTTCCTTAAAAGTTGTGTGTGTATTTATAAAAAATTACTTTGTAAATTATTTTATAATTATGTAGTTTAAATTGAGATTTAAAAAGTATATTTGTTTTTTATATGAATATTGCTTATTTTTGGTACGTGGACTGTGCAGAAATCGAAATAGCTTTTATCTTTGTGGGTGAAGATTGCTGTTTTTTGAGTGGGGCACATACCTGATGGTGCTCAGGGAATACTCCTGGCTCTCTGCTCAGGGATCTCTCCTGGTGGGCCAGTGATTTAACCTGGTCAGCCACTTTCAAGGCAAATGTCCTACCTGCTATACCTTTTCTCCAACCCCAAGGTTGCTCTTTTTAATGAGGTTGGGCCAGAAAGAGAAAGGAGCCTCTTTTAATTCATTTTTGGTTTCCTACTTTGGTCCCTTGTAAGTTACTGAGATTTGCTTTTAGGGAAAAATAATTGTGGTAATTTTCCCACTGACTTTGGGCGCCAGGGATATGTCCAAGAAGTGGAGGGTCTATGTGTGACCCTGTGTTCAATCCTGGCACCACATGCCACTTATTTTGTACTCCTGGTGGCCCTGAACACAGCCAGGTTTGGTTCATAAATTATAAATGGTTTGAGGGTAAATTATCTCTTCAGACGATTTTTTTTGTTTGTTTAATGGAATAGAAGTAGACAGAGTCAGATCAAAATTCAAGCAAGGTCTGGTGACAAGGCAAAACTGCTTTGAACAGAAGAGTCCATTAAGTAAGTTTAAAGCGAAGATTTTTGAATCAGAAGAATGAAAGCAAAGCTGGATTTGAAACAGAAGTTTGAAGCTAATCACAGGTGTTTAGTTTCTTCATTTCCAAACAGAAGAAAGCAAAACAAAAAGGGATCATAGTCATTTTATACTTAGATGCATATTCAGTGTACAAGTAAGGTAGGGTAAGGTAAAGGCCCTCCCGTTGATCGTCGATTTGCTCGAGCGGGCCCAGTAACGTCTCCATTGGAGACTTTGTTGTTACTGTGTCTGGCATATCGAATACTCTCGGTAGCTTGCCGGGCTCTCCGAGAGGGGCGGAGGAATCGAACTCGGGTCGGCTATGTTGGCCGCTTGTAAGGCGAACGCCCTACCCGCTGTGCTAACTTAATATAATTCATTTTTTTAATTGAAGCATCATAATAGTAAAATAGTTCCATAGACTGGAGCGATAGCACAGTGGGTAGGGTGTTTGCCTTGCATGCGGCCAACCCGGGTTCGACTCCTCCGTCCATCTGAGACTGGCAAGCTACCGAGAGTATCCTGCCCGCACGGCAAGCTCACTGTGGTGTATTTGATATGCCAAACACAGTAACAAGTCTCACAATGGAGACGTTACTGGTGCCCACTTGAGCAAATCGATGAACACCGGCAGGACAGTGCTGCAGTGCTGCAGTGCTGCCGAGTATCCGGATTCCACTGTTGTCCCGTGCTCCCTTGCTCCCCTCTTTGAGCATGCTTGGTCACTCTGTTCCCACTTCCACTGTTCATTTCTCAAGATACGTTTCCATTGGAGAGGGTCTATTTAAAAGTATTCTTCAAAATTGAATATTCTTCAAAAAGCTTTATATCAAAAAATAACTTGGGCAATATCAAGATTTTTACAAAAGAATTCTTTAGGGCATAACCTTGAGAAACTAAGAAAATAATGGAAAGACTCACATGACACATTCCTAAGAGAGAGCCATTTAATTGGTTAAGTTTGAAATGATGTACATGGGATCTTTTTCAAAAAACGATGTCCAATTTTCAAGCAAAATAATTTTCTTAAAGCTGATAGCGCATTGAAATTCATTGTAGGGACAAAGTGATTGTACAGCGGGAAGGGCGTTTGCCTTGCACGCGGCTGACCGGGTTCAATCCCGGCATCCCATATGGTCCCCCAAGCACAGCCAGGAGTGATTCCTGAGTGCAGAGCCAGGAGGAACCCCTGAGTATCGCCGGGTGTGACCCCAAAACCAAAATAAATAAATAAAATAAATGTACATGTTTTACTACTGCCACGAGTGATCCCGAGTGCAGAGCCAGGAATAGATCCTGATGCCGACTGAGTATGTATATACCCACAATATATTCATGGGTGTGTATACACACACACACAGAGCACATACTACCATGTAATGGGGCTCCTAGGTTTGATTCCCAGTATACATAAATTACCCCCTGAGTCCATCCTTCCCCCCGCAAAACAAAGTAATTAGAGCCAGAACCAAAAAGCGAAAAAAAAAAAAAAACCCAAAACCCAAACAAAAACAACCCCAAAGAACCCAAACAATAAAATTCATTCTGTTAAAATTATAATAAAGGCCAAGGCAATAATAGGACAGCCGGTAGGGCTTTTGTCTTGTATGTAATTGATCCAGGTTCAATCTCTGGCATTCCCTGACGCCTGCTAAGAGTGATCCCCGTGTGCAGAGCCAGGAGTAAGCCCTGGCACTGCTGGGTGTGGCCCCAAAACAAAAATTATATGAAATTAGAATCAGATTGAAAGTGTTCATTCCTAAAACTTTATAGTAAGGGCTTGCGAAATAGCTTTATTCAGGTATAATTTGGACACCAAAAGTTCAACTATTTTAAGTATATAATTCAGTGGTTTTTCATAAAATCAAAGTTGGATAGTCATCACAATACTGTTTTAGAACATTTCCATTAGTTCATAAGTTGACTTAAACTCCTTTGCAGTTAATTCCCTCTTCTATCCTCAGTACATCCATACTGATGCATTTCTGTAAGTTTCCCCTGCCTTGAAATTGCACATTAGTCGAATCATAGAATTTGAAGTCTTGTCTGGCTCTTATCACCTGGCATAATGTTTTTGAGGTTTATATATAGTGTGTACCTGTACTTAGTTCCTTTAGTTGCTGTGTAGTATTCCATAGAACACCCATTTTGAGTATTCATTCTGTAGTTGGTAGACATTTGATCTTTTCGCCTTTTTTTGTTTGTTTGTTTGCAATAATACTATTCATATTCACCTGTATATTTTTATGGGTATATTTTTATTTCTTATAAGTAGAGTCTTCTGGTTGCTTGGAACATTTTACAATGGTGTTGGTGGTGCTTGGGGGTTATGCACTG